TTCCTGCTCAGCATGTACACAGATCTTGATACCTTTTGTGGTGATAAACCTATAGGACGAAAGAAAGCAAACCAGGCAGCTATTAAATTCCAGTCTTTAAATCCAGGTTTGCTATTCTTGTATTTTATGAAGAACATGAGGAAAAACATGATAAAACCATATCAAATGCTGGAGGTTGTACTTGTTAGTTGGAATAACAGCAGTTAGTAGTATTAGTTCCCTATTTATGGCATAGGTATATATTTAACATACATGGTAATGTGCATGTATACTGATAATTTAAAAAAAAGAAGCATACCTACTGTTCTGATATTTTCTATTAAATCATGATGAACATTTACCTCCCAGGAACAGAACCCAGATTTGATAAAAATGTGTGCTTGTGAGCTAGCTCAAAAGACCAAACACAATTCCTAGCATGAGTAAGAGTTACCCTGTATTCTTTCACATGATCTTTCCCATTGGCTCAATTCAGTGCACTGGACTTCTGACTGCTCCACCCTTACTGAGATTTTTCCCCCACTTGCTGGGTACGAAAGATCTGACTCTTCAGTGAGATTGCTGTCATTATTCATGAGCAGCATATATCTCCCAGCTGTCCCCTCACTCCCTCAGCTGCGAGGCAAGTCTTTCATGGGAGAACTGGAAGGGTGATCCGAACTAGCCAGTGAGCTGGGCCATGAAGTGTCTTCTAACACCTTTTCCCTTTTCAATGGGAAATTGTTTGCATAGACAAGTCTGAAGGTGAACTGTGCACTAGATACTTACAGAACGGCATTTACTGGGACTTGTTGCCTTTCATATCTTACAAGATTTTGGATGTTCAGTTGCCTTGTAGACAGACTTACACAACTGAATTTGCGCATGGACTGACTTCCAGCACTCCCTAAAAGGGGAAAAATAGAAAAATGACAAAGGCACTCAATACTATATTGATATTTAGCCATAATTACTTAATAAATTATGAATTCCAGAAAATTTTCAATTGTGGTTAGAACATGAGTGTCTCATTATGTACAACCACAATGCAATATATATAGGAGAGCTTAAAGTATTTTTTGTGGTGCATCCTACCATCTCTAAAGTGTTACTGCTATTCAATTAAGACCTTCACCTGTTCTCCTGAAGAACTGTATAATAATTCTGTCCCTAGGGAGTCATTGCTTCCATAGTGGAAAAGGTATTTGGCATAATTCATAATTAAGTCTGTGTCATCTGCAAATAAGTGCTCATATGGAGTAGCACTTAGAACCGACACCTTTACTGGGTGAATTTCCACGTGCCATCTGAATGTGGATCAATAATTCCCCCTATTTTCCAAGTCAAGAAAAGGAAAGAAAGGCTACTTCTCCAAAACTAGCATTAAAAAAAGATTGTTGAAAGAAAGGCGCTACTTCTCTCACAGTGGACATCCAAAACTAACATTAAAAAAAGATTGTTGAAAGAAAGGGAGGTGTATCTCTAAGAAGACTAAGTACTTACATCCTCCTGCTATAACTCTAGTTTCAAAGGCAATGGAGTGCTACTTAATCCTCTCCTTCCTCCAAGATTTTCATACAATTCAGGCAAATGCATTGGTGATTAATAAAGAAGATAGCAATATTGGTGTAAAATTTTCTGGGCAGTTGTTATCTTACATGATGATAACTAAAACTGGGAGCTCATTCAAATGAGATGGAGTATATTTGTGTACATTAGTGTAAGTCTCAGTTTGCTAGTTTCTGGTTTTCTCCCAGTCATGAAAGACAGATTTGTGAAGGCATGAAGGGGACAAACAGAACACTGCTGTATTCTGTGGTTTCTTTTTAAAGGTTCAAATTGCTAAATCGTACCTACTTCACATAATCTCATTACATGTGAGATTTTCTTTATTTGAAATAATTGGAATAGTTGAGAGAAACACACATCAGCCATAAGCTGTGGCATAGCCTGTGAACAGGTACTGGCAGAGTTGCTAATTCTTGAGATTTTGTTTGCCTGAAGGAATATCTCTTCTGATCTTCGTTTAGTCATGAGTAACACAATGTAGATTTTTTTATGATTCATTACAAATATCTTACTGACTCAAACTGGTTTTCAAATTGTGGCATTAAAAGAGCTCAAAGAGAGTCAAGCAATTCTTACTAGTCATGGAAATATTTTCTCTGCTATCAAACTACCTTCAGGGAATAGATGCAGGGAATACCAGCAAAGCTTCTCTAAGCCTGGAAACAAAACCAAACTGCTCTGCACCTATAACTACTCTTTTCCAAGTGTTTTTGTTTGGTTTTCCTTTATCATTCTTTCTAATCCTTTTTCTATTGCCTGTACACAGCCTCAGTGTGCTTTTTGAGATTTGGTGATATTTATGACAAATTATACAACCTGGAGAATGACATTACAAACTGGCAGTCTGTGATATGAAGCCACGTATCACATACGTATCACCTGTCTTGTTGCCAAGATGCCAAGCAGTATCATTAATCAATGTACAAGAATATAGTGTGATCTATCTATAGGGGCACTAGGTCAACATACTCAGTGCATAGCTTCATAATCTTATGAATGCTTAGCAGGTCTCAGTTTGGTTTTGGTGTGGTTTTGTGAAGATGCCTTTTCTCTGTGCTTCTCTTTGCATATTTGTGGGTTTGCATACAGCTTGCATGTGAGTGTTTTCTGTGATTTTTATATGTGCTTGTTTGCATGAATCTGATTACGATTGTTTTATTATGGATGCAGCCTAATCCAGAAGTCACAGACCTAAAATATTATGGGTGTAGCCTAATCCAGAAGTCACAGACCTAAACATCCCTGTAGACAAAACTTAGTTCAAGTACAACTGCTAAACGTGGCTCAACTCAGTGCTCATGATTGGTCTCAAATAAGATGTTAAATTGTATGATTATATGAAGACAGAGAAGATATCGTATAAATCCATTACTCTTCCTAATAGTTTTTGTTCTGTACCAAAAGGTTTGTTTAGAAACAAGTGAATAGGCAATATGTGGTACAGAACTGGAAAAACTTTTTAAAATAGGGACATTAGAGGGATTAAGGCTATATAGTTAGAGAAAGGCAAATAAATAATATAAAAAATTCATATAAAAATAGTATATCTGGAAAAAGAAAAATGTACATCTTATTCAAGAAATATTTTTCATAAAATATTATCAACCTATGGTACTTACTACTATAAGGCATTGATGAGATTAAAAAGACATTGTGTCTTCAAGATTTGAGAGAGAGAATAATACACAGAAACCCATTAAATGATCTCAGACACAGAAAATCTCCTTGCAGAAGCCAACCACTAAATGACAGGACATAAAATGAAATCTCTCATAAAGCTATCTTTCATGCCATTCTGATCTGGATTTCTTGTGAGTTTTATCTTAATATTCAGCTCTGTCTGAGAATGAATCCTGTTCCTCACACCACTGTCGCAATGTGGAGCAATTCCTGTCTTCTTCTTGGGTTGTAGACTTACCTTTCACTGTGTGCACAGTGAAGATGCCAAGCCAGAAGATGACAAGGATAGCTGCAGCTTGGAGTTTCATTGCTGGTGACTTCTGTATCAAGGCAGAGAAGAAAGTGGCTATTGTCAGTCCTCTTTCACAGGTCTTATATATTGGGATTCAGTGGTCAGTTCTTGTGTTCACTTTTGGGGTGTCATGGAGGGCCTGACTATAAGCGGAAAAATTGAGTGGTAGTACTATTTCTGGTGACTGAGAACCACCTCCTTTCCCCCACCCATCCTTCACTAGCCCCCCTGTGAAGGCTTTTCCTGCTCAAACCAACTGTGGTTGCACTTGCTTCTGTGTTGTGAGTAAGGTTTATTTCAAGCAGCAAAAAGTGAGAGCTCTTGTTCTGTAGTGGAAACCTTTAATAAATGTTCCTGTCCTTTGACACCTCAATTTTGAGACCTTTAGCTAAGCCGCAATGCAGAGGCACAGAGTAACATTCAGAGGTACATCTTTGACCAATGGACCACTGAAAAGGGGAACTGTGAGCTAAAGGATGATGGAAACAGCAACACCTTGCCTCTTTCCAGAGTGGCTGTACGTAGTTGGTCATGTTAACACATAGCTTTGGAGGGGTATTGCTGCCCTTTTCTATGACTGGTTGAGGCTGTCAAAACTTTTCTGTTTGCTCTGTGATTTGATGTGGCCAAAGCTGATATCAGTATGTGCTGGGAGAATCAAGATTGAACACACTTGCATACAGATCCAGATCCTGCATACAGATCCACTGAAGCATAACTAAAATACAATGGTTTCAAAGAGGTGTAAGAGTTTATAAAGGGTTTTGTTGGGGCAGGGGCTTTTGGGTTTTGTTGTGATAGGATCTTTCTACTATAAAGAATGGAGCCCAATAAAGTAACAAGGCAATCAGAGAGGCAAAATTTGTAGCAAAGAAGAAAAAATTTCATCATTCTTTCATGTAAACATAGTGTTGATAACATGTCTGTCAACTTGTTACAACTGTACCTCTTTGCAGTCCATGCTAGCCCTATCTCCCAGGTTTAGGTGTCCTTTCTATGCTGTGGCAAGGTGGTCTCAGTTACTGGACAGCATTGCTACATGCCAGTGGTTTTGTACCTGCAAATATTTTTCAGGCAATCTGTGGACCTCCAGGCCACACACAAAGCAGCATCTGGATTGGCATCATCATCCAGAGCTTCTGCACAGAAATCCTCTCTTGTGCTTCACACTTTGGAGACTGGTAGAATAAGCCAAGCTTTGCTAGGCCCATAGGGACCCAGCTGGCCTGGTGTGAATAGGTAAGCACCAGGGTTCCTGACACCTCAGGTTGTGAGGCAATGCTCTAGAACAGCTGTCAGTGCAAGGTTGGGAGCAATCATTGAGTGTCCTGGTTTTGGCTGGGATAGAGGTAATTTTCTTCTTAGTAGGTGTCACTGTGCTGTATTTTGGATTTAGCACAAAAATAATGTTGATAACACATGAATGTTTCAGTTGTTGCGAAGTAGTGCTTACCCCAAATCAATGACTTTTCAGTTTCCTATGCTCTGCCAGTGAGCAGGTGCAGAAGAAGCTGAGGGGAGCATGGTCAGGACAAATGACCCAAACTGACCAAAGGGATGTTCCATACAATAAAATATCAAGCTCAGTACATAAACTGGGAGAACTTGGCCAGGAACCACTGATGGCTGCTCAGGGATGGAGTGGGCATTGGTCAGTGGGTGGTGAGGAATTGTATCATACATCAATCATTTCTCTTGGGTTTTATTCCTATCTCTCCTTTTCATTAAAATTATTATTAATAGTATTTTTTTCAATCATTAAACTGTTCTAATCTCAACCAACAAGGTTTACTTTTTCCAAGTGTTCTCTCCACTGGGGCTGGGGCAAGGGGGTGGTGAGCAAATGGTACTAATTTGCTGGCTGGACTTAAACCATGACAGCAAGTATGACATATTCCCTGATCTTTCCTCATTGCCTCAGCTCGTTACCTCCAGTTTTCCAAATTCTTCATAACATCAATATAAATTCCTTTGCATGGGGAAACAAAGCATGTGGAACTCAATTCCCTAAGATTCCTCAGGTGAATTAACACTGAGCTGAGAACGTTGCTCAAATACAGGTTCACAGGCTGTGATGGTTGGTCTGTAACTACAGGAACAGTCTGTAGGTCTTGCACATATGCTGTGTGGTTTACTTGTATGTACACGCATATTCTTTGTTCCTTTTGGTTTCATTCTTTCATCTTACATATACTGTACAAACCAGGGAAACCCAGGGTAAAGCAATGGCAAGCAGAAAATACTTTGACTGAATACCTGCTAAACCCACTTGCAACCCTAAGGAAGTTGCAATGAAATGGAAGCCAAAGCTTCAACCAATGCACTTAAAGGACATGCCTGCTGTCCTTTACACACGGGGGAGTAACCATACAGACCTCAGCAGTGCTATAGGGAAATCTACGCACTTAAAGGACGTGCCTGCTGTCCTTTACACACAGGGGAGTAACCATATGGACCTCAGCAGTGCTATAGGGAAATCTATGCTAAGTTTGTGTCCAAGCAGTGTAGCAGTGCTGTGCTGAACACTGGCTGAAATCACTCCTTGGATGAGATATTCTAACTTTCTGGTACTTGTCAGTTATAAGATGCAAGATAGCAACTTTGCCATTGAGGGTAGAGATGTTTTCTACCCATTGAGAAAGAAGATGCTCCCCCACTTCTGCTAACTGATACAATATGTACATGTATGTATATGCTGTCTACAGTATTGAGAGAAAGGGTCACCAGCTGAACTGAGCATGATCCAGCTCACAAAAACTCAGTTCTTCCCTCAGAACCTTCTGCAGGTTGTTCTGCAGGTGTTGCTAGAAAGCCTGTTGCTTCTTCAGTTATCCACCATTCTTCAGATGGGATGGAAAAATTGCCCTGTGGCAAGTTTTCCCCCCTCTTTGTACTTCTTATTCTCTATAGCCTCCTGGGCTGTGGTTCTGTGTTTTGGGGAAGAGTTTTGTGGGCTGGAGTTCCACAGCCCTGTCTGTGAATATTTGGTGATCTTTGATATTCCAATGTTGTATAAGGCTTGTTTTCATGTACCCTAACACCAGTGTGCACTTACTCTGTGCTGGGGCAAAAGCTTAGCATAGGATGATCAGATGTATAGTCTTTCTGTATTCTTGCTTAGAAGTCATATTAAAAAGACAGTGCCCAAAGCATTTTTCCTATTACTGCTTCTCAGCTCTGGAGAAGTTGAATACTGATGAACCTTGTCCTGGGGTTTGACTGCCTTATGTGTGGCTCAATCTTCACAGGCTGCTTACAGAGCATTCTGGAGTAAAATGGTCATTAGCAGCTTGAGATGCATTCACAGACAAAGCAGGCAGTATGATTATAGAATTCTCTAATAGTTTGTAAAATCTGAACTGTGGATAAAGATGACCATCACACTCCTTCTCAAACTCTTGGCCGCAGTTACGACGTTGTGTGTGCCATGCAAGCTTCCCTTCTCCTCCCCTCCACATCTCATGTTTAACACATACACTTTACTGAGAGAAATCAGGTGCAGACACTGGATTTTGAAGGTGTGATGTGCATGTGTATCAGTATTTAACCTTTGGAGCCTGTTCACATGCAGATAACCACAGACTTTGAATCTCCTGGGCTTCCTATACAATGTGGAAAGAGGCTGGACAGCCCTGGGAGAGTTCAGGGACAGCAAGCTCCTGCTTGAGGCATTCAAGGGCTCTCCTGAGCCCTTCAGCCCCTGTTCATGCAGAGCAGTCTACCTCCTTTTCACCAACACAGCAGCTGGAGCAGAGAGGTGAGGGGCACATGAGACTGCTCACACACAGCAGGAGGCAAAGCCATGGCTGGCTCTAGCACAGCTCCTAACCAACTGCTGAATGCAATAGTTTTCTTAATTTTTAACAAGGTCAAGCAATTTGTACTGAAATAACTCTTGTATGTACTCTGTTTCATGACAGCAACCCTGATGAAAGAAAAGAAATATAAGGTGAGCAGAGTGTTGAGGCTAGTATCAAAACTACTTATCAGGGTAAAGAGTTTGAAGTAATGGATTTTCTTGTACTGTAGTTAGCTTTGTAAAAAGAGAGGCCAAGATCTTCACAAATAAGTATTCTTATGCACTCCTAGAAATGAGCATCTTTAGTGAATGTTCAGCAGCCCCTTGAACTTGAATATGTGCCAGCAGGTCACTTGTCACTAAATCAGAGCATTCAGTGACTTTAAGAGTGGATTTAAGCAATATATGTATATATCTTGGACATGGTAAGTGAAGTTATCTGACCCTAATGTATTTCAATTTTGCATTGTTTCATAATAGTTGGAGCACTGGTTTAAGAATTACCAGCAAGTGACATCCAGCTGTGATATTTCCATGACTTTCTTCCCCCTCTTCTGCCTTTGCTTTTCAACACTTTTGCTCTGTGCATTTCATGCTGATTTCATAGATACCTGAAATAGCAGTTTATGTTCAGTATTTTAATTCATATTGTAACAAAGTAGAAACAAACACACACTCAGCACTCACAACTCAGTTGAGAGACCATGACTTTTAGTCTAAATTGGTAGCTTAAATCACATTTTTAATAACTACTCTGTTTTGTGCTGGTTTTGGCAGAATGCCTCCTTTAGAAATGTAACCCTATTAACAATACTTTCTCTTAATCATAATAGAATTTTTGCTTGTGGACCATCTGTTTCCACTACTATACTGCCAGCTTTTTCCTGCCAACTTTTCCCTGGTCCTGCCATCTTCCCTTGAGGTGTTATGTGCTCTTAAATAAGTTAGTTGTTTCAAAATCTTTCTTCAGTCATCCAATTTGAAATATTCACATCCACAAAATTAGACTGAGAATGATTTGGTTTGAAAGGGTCCTTGAATCAAACATGTAAAGGTTCTTTTACACACTATAGGCAGCTCTACAGTCAGCTGTATGCAGACATGCACCTCTTTTGCTGATGTTTTAAGCTGACTTGACACAAATGTGGCAGCCTCTCTGTAACAGAGGTGTTTGCTCTTTCTTTCATTCATTGTTGTTTTGTTTCAGTTTGTTTCAA